AATTTGCTTGCGTGAAGGATGCACTCTTAAAAATAATGTTACCCTTTTGAAAAATACGTACATAACTGTACTGTACTCTTCTATATAAATCAAGAATGAGCTTTTGTCTTTAAGCTTAATACTTTGGACTGATTTTTCACGTGAAAAAGTTTAACAAACGACAGCAACATCTGGTAAACTTGTTTGAAGAAACACTTTCATTTATGATCAATCGTCTAAAGGGTGTTGATTTAATTAGTCCCGATTTTGCCTAATTATTTGAAAACCCATGACTCAAAAGGTGTGAAAACTTGGGTTCCTTTGAAAATATGTATTATCTATAATACTCATGATTAGAGCTGGTGTTGTCATTCTATGGATTTTGCTATAAAATTTCAAAGAAAAATTTTAAATTTTTTGAAAATTTTGCTTAAATATTATTAGAACCATAATAACCATAATCGGGACCAATCTTAAATCAACACCCTTTTAAATGGCGAAATCCATCAATCATTTTCATTTTAAGGTGAAGAAGAAATTCGTACTCATTCAGCATCATAATTTGTCTAATGAATGAAAGTGAACATGTACATATGTACATTTGATTAAGAGCACGTATACTTTTAAAAGGGTAATATTAGTTTTATTTTTAAGAGTGCACTTAGCAAGACAAACAAATAACAAAAACAAAAATAAAAAATCTCAACTAATTTTCAGGAAATTCCGATAAAACCACCACCCTTGGCATATTTCTGCACTGACTCATCCTCTGTTTCGCTACCGTTCCCCCGGTCTGGGGACTGATGCCACTTATTAGCTCACCCTGCGTAGCATGAGAGCTATTGAATTCCTCTTGTCCGTCCGTCCGTCTATCTGTTAACGACCTTTTTGCATCAATTGATGCTAATTAAAATGTCCCTGGTCCATTTTTTCATAAATTAATAGCACCGTTGGTATCTGACAATCCGAAACACCAAATGATGCGAAAGAATTGGGGGCTTTGATGCATAACGCACCAATAGTGCATTCTGCTCGGCGGATTTTATTAGACAATTTTGACATAAATTTTTCAAAATTATGGTTGATCGCTGGTAGGTAATTCTGCACTAGTGATGCACAATTTTTGGACTTTCCTCGATGCATAAAAATTATTGATCTATTTTGCTTAATTTATCTGCACCATTGGTGCAATATTGCATAAAAATTATTGATCTCCTTTGTTGGATTTTTCTGCACCAGTAGTGCATAATTGCATAAAAATTATGTATCTATTTTGTTTCATTTTTCTGCACCATTGGTGCAATATTGCATAAAAATTATTGATCTACTTTGTTGGATTTTTCGGCACCATTGGTGCATAATTACATATAAATTATGTATCTATTCTGTTGAATTTTTCTGCACCTTTCTGGGAAGTTATACCAAAATTATTATTACAGGGTGAGCTACTTCTAACGTTACTACGGTTTATTGCTCATAATATCGATCCGACCTACTTCTGGTTCAGAAATGTAGCCTGGTTAAGCCCCAATTTGAAAATAGTGATCAGAATGATAATCAGTTTTCCGTTGGCGCTGCAAATTTCAAATCTTGTCCTGTGTGGTTCAGTCATTAGTTCCAATGCAGCCTTAATGTACTTGAAATGTCTCAAGGAAATTACAAATTTCGAAAATTTGGACAACATAACTTTGAAATTTCGCAATGTCTCTATTGTGAAATTTCGCAAATTTTTGGCAATGTACAAACAACTCTACATTATCACAACGGTGACGAATGAGGTGGTCTATTTCATCCTACCGATCGCACTATTTTCCTCTTTGTTACTGGGCATCGTCTTTCTCTACGTGTTAATCGTCCTCACGGGAAAAATATCGCTGTCCCTGACCTTCATCGCGGGGTCAATTAGTGTCGCAATAATTGGCATGGTTCATTTGGTTTTGCCGCTAATGGCGGAAATTACAGAGGCGTCAGGAGATTTTATGAGGGGAAAAACTTGGACAAGGGTGCAATATGGACAGCACTATAATGTGGAAAATTTATACATTTTCGTGCTGCACATCTTCATATAATTTCTTGAAATCTGCTGTAGACCTACCCAAGTTCATTCACTTGTTAAATTGTAACTTCTTCTAGATCTTACTGCGTCCTCTAAAATTATTATGATGGAAACTAATACTTCTCTTCTTAATTTTCCTAATTATCAAAATTGCAAAAAGTGACAAGCGCGTGAGATCAGCAATAGACTAAGATGTTTAAGATAGTTTATCGATTTTTATTTCAGGACTCATGTATTGTTGGAAAGTAACAAAGTAGCCTATGCATTTCAGTATTTCCCAAAAACGCATCCTTATAAGGATATAAGGATGCGTCGCAAATATATATACTTACTTGCGATCACCAAAAGTTAAAGGTCAGATTGGAATTAGCAACTAAGTAACTTGAGTAGTCAGTAGTTGCTACCAAATATATTCAGGCCTGGAACAGGTGAATTAGCGTATTATGTGAAAGTTAATCAGCGTTTAAACTTTCTGGTTTCAAATAACTGAGATCTACAATTATAAAATTAGCGTTTGTGAAACTGGCATATGTATATAAAGTCGAATTGTATGAAATTACAGACCTACAACTCTCATCTTTTATGAGTTTAATTTAAATAGAAATTTCCACCATTAGTGTGTCCTTATTTTAACATTATCCAGATATTTTTTGTCTTCATTTTTTTTGTCCGTATTATGGTATCAATATAGTGGTTTGTCCTCATTATGCCCTAAACCCATGGGGGACAACACGGGGGCTTAGTGGGTGGGACAGGAAGGGATTGAAAGCTTGTAGATTACTACGCCTATGGGTCGGGCCGTTTCAATGTATTGGTAAAAGTTCTAGGATGGATTTTATTTCTGCATTGCTGTACTACACGGTTTCCTTGATTATTTCAGTGACACCGTAAGAAACTTGTTTGAAATATGAAACAAATTGGCATTTAAAAAAAATATTCTATAGTTTGTATTTACTACTGGTTGGTTACCTAATTATTTCTTAGGGTAATTTCATACGTTACTAAATACCTATTTGGATACAGACAATTCCAGGAATTTGATGTGAGCAAGTTCGGCTACTCAATTTTTAAACATTCGCCATGTGCAGACAGTCTACACATATGTCATTCTAAGGTTGTGAATTTGATCTTCTTTATTTGGTCGTTCACTCCTGGTTTTATACTTGAGGTAGAACCGACCGGGAGCATAAATTTGCACAAAACCCCTGCAAAGTTCATTTAAGAGATGCATATTATGTACATTCAGAACTTTCAGCGATTGAATAGGTACATATTTATCTACATATGTATTTATTCTCGAAACCCGGCACGTGCATGTACATATGCATGCAGTGTAATTGTTAAGAATGACTATTCCCCAATATCTAAATTTATCAATCCTGTAAAATCAATTTTTACCAGTTTTTTATACCACTCTTTATCACTGGGACGGTAAAAATCAACCATCATGGTAAAATTTAAAACACTGTCTGCACACTGTAAATAATTTTGAAACAAATTGTCACCCGCGGAGGTACTATACTGCTCTATTTTTGGGTAACGATTTAGGAGACGTTTTATCACCAGAAGGAGACAAGCCAAAAACTCGTGTATCAGACACACGTGACGTCGTAATTAAAAAAAAATTGAACATTTTTATCTGACAATAAGACTTTTTTTACATGACAGTATTAAATTTTTTAAATGACGACGTCACGTGTGCTTGGTGCATGAGTTTTTGACTTGTCTCCTTCTGGTGATAAAACGTCTCCTACATCGTTACCCAAAAATAGAGCAGTATAGTACCTCCGTCGGGTGACAATTTGTCTCCAAATTATTTAGAGTGCAAGTGTGGGGGAGCTAGCAGTTCGTGAGTTGCGTACCTTACATACATACGTAAACTCTAAATAAAAATCAGTAAAATTTACTCAAGGTTGGGTTAAAAAGAGGGCTAGACAACCGAAAGGGAAAATTTATCTGAGACAAATTTTGTTGCACAACTTTGGACTACTTTTGTGCAACGGTTGGATAAATGTTATCTTTTCGTTGTGCCATCCTCTTTCTGACTCAACCTTGCGTAAATTTCACTTATCTTTATTTAGTGTGTGGTACATATGTATATTTCTCCTGTGAACACAAACTTATATACATTTATACATTATTTCCACGCTGAACTATGTATCCGATTGCATGCAAAATTCGTACATTTAATAATTATTACATATATTTATATGCTGCATATGCGCATATGTAGGTATGTCATCTACATAGACGCTTAAAATGTGGTATTAAAATAATACTAAGCGGTATTCATACATATATTACTCTACCAAATTGGTATTAATTAATAAATAATACCGTTCACGTAGTAATAACTGCGTATTAATGTTTTACCAAATCGGTTGCAAATTTTTACGGAACGTTATATATAATTTTAATACCATTCGGTAGCAACTTTAATACAGAGAAATTAGTACCTACATTTGTAAATACATATTTATGTTTATACAGAGCTTTTGCCCCTGAATTTGTTGTTTTACCCTTTCCCAGTAAGATGTAAGAATTCAATTAAGCAAGAAAATAAAGTTTGCTAAAATGACACAACTCAAGTCATATTCTGTCTGTGATTATCGCAGTTCAAATACTGATTTATTTATGAAAAGTTTTTAAAAATCGATGAAATCCTTCGCGCACGGTCCACCCACATCGAAGCAGATATATTTGCCCCGATATTGTCATTCAACAATTTATCAACCTTTTAAGATAATATGATACATACAAGGGCAAAAAAAGGTTGACACCATGCACACAAAATGTTAGTAATTTTCGGGATGAGATCACCTGCGTAAAATAATTTACATATCCTTTCTATGCAAATTATGCACAATGTGAGTCATATCCAACTATGTAAATAGACAAAGTCCTTCATTCATGGTCGATTTCGTAATGAAGTCCGAATTCTCGATCAGAAATTGATAAGCAAGCGAGGTGACAAATGCAGACAATTCGCAACCTTTGCATCCATTCAGCCTCCACCTTCCGATCCATAAAGATCAATTAATTACATATTTACCTGTAATAAAAGAAATGAAGCCTTTCGCTCTCCTCGTCTTAATCGGAGTCGTCCTCTTCCCGATCAGCACGACTTCGTTTTCCTGCTACATGTGCACTTCGGAACAAGAGAAGAAATGCAAGGAGGGCAAGCTGGATGATAAATACGTTAAAAATTGCGACTTAACAAACTCTGTTAATCCTGGTAAGATAAAAAATTAAAATTTGAGTTTAAGTTACACTCTAAAAAAGTAGTTTTGTCATTTCCCAAAATAAATACAGTCTGAATTCTAAATGAAGTAAAGTTTACGAAATCCAAAGTGACATTGACTTGATAAAGATTAAAGTTTATTTTGGATTTTAATCTGGAATTTAGAATTCATTTACTAGGTGGCCCAGGCAAACTGGTAGTGAAATGAAACGCTGTAGCGACAACAGTTTTCATGTTACAAATTTCTGATTAATTTTAATGGAAAGCCAGTTAATTTTCGAGTAGAAAACAATATTTAGTTTTCGAAATTTCCTCGCCCCCCATAAATCCAGCGCTGAAGACGCGGCATCCTGTCATTGATTAAAGTGCGCACTGAATTCGAGGACAAATTCTTCCATTTCGTGGCCAAGGATTTTTTTAATGCTTCCATACTTCTGTGAAGCTTAGAACACACATTTGCCCATAATTTTTACAATATTTCATAATCCGGGGGTTCAGATGCATCAAGGAGGAAATAAATTCCGAAGTGAAGATAGAGTCCGGAATTTGGTATTTTTGCCACGCGTGCATCGTTTTTTCCACTATGCACTGGTGCTGAGTCCTGTTGAAAGGTCTAATCGACTCCATTGAATCGGATCTCACTTAGGGGATGTACCACGGACTTGAAAACATATTTTAAGAAATTTGATCCCCCCACCTCCCCCCGAATTTAGATGAAATTACGAGAAATTTCCCCAAATCAGCTCGCACCCGCCAAAACCACCACAAACCCTGGATATTGTGAACTTTTGACCTTTTTCTTTATTGGGAACTCTCTTTGATAGATTTTGCGCAAAAAATTTCGTTTTGTTTGATAAAAAATTGCTCCACGGCCAAAATATCCTCATCTGTAAACAGAATCCTCTTCACTTTTTTTGGAGCGCACCGCTTCAGAGGGGCCCTGCATTTCTTAAATCTAGTTTTCCTTTGGAGGATAATCAGCATATGGCAAGGTCCATGTTTCGAAGCCTGAAGTCCAAGGTTCAGTTTGAGCACTCGATGGATAATCTGCATATACACTGTCAGCTGTAATGCTGGTTTCCGGTGAAATTTCGCGAATTTTTTCGGATTCTAGCCTTCAGCGCCTTGGCAATGGGTGTGGTCGTTTGAAGTTTTAAAAAAATACTTCTTCGACTGTTCTTAGTCAAGCCAATCCCAGTGAACGTTTTTATAGTCCTCTGGACTAAATTAAAGTTCACCTTCGATTTCTGTAGTAGTTTTAAAATTGACTATTTCTCCTCCGAATTTTTTGGTGCAAAATTATTCTCGCCTGCGCCCACGCACGATTTTCACTGCCGATATGCGTTGCAAGTAGTTAGAAGTGAAATTATGTTTCTTATGGAAAATCGCACGAGGAATCCAATGCACTTATCAGATTTTTATTATCTCCAGCGGATTTAAAGTTAAGAGCTACTTTCAGCTTGCTTGGGCCCAGTAGGTACATTCCCTAAGGGGAACGTTTATACAGGGTGGTTAAAATGTCACGCCACAATGGAAAATTTGTCAATGGGAAAAGTCCCTAAATCTCCATTAGTTACAAGACTTGGGATTGAGATTTTTATAAATTATTATCGAAACTGATGACTAAAATTCTTAAAATGTTGCATTTTAGAAACAAAATTTCCGTAACTAATGGAAATTTATGGATTTTTCCCATCGAAAAATTTTCCATTGTAGCGTGACATTTTAACCACCCTGTACATATATTACGTCATCAAGAAATCCCCCATTTTTCCTCCACCCACTCACCCCTCCCAATCCTACTCATGTTAACCTTAACACTTTTAAGATAGGGAAAAATCCGTAACACAAATTTTTGATGACGTAATTTATAGACGTTCCCAAGGATACCATTATTTTTTTAGAGTGTAACTTGAACGTCAAATTGATATTTTTTCAAGAACACAAATAGTAACAATATTTAAGTGTGTTAATTTTACCAAAAAATATATTTGTTCAGAAACCATGCAGCTCTGGAACGCCACAGAAATTGCGGCTATGCAGGAAGCCAAGCAATTATTTAACATGGGGTGTTTTAAGACACACTTGACCTCGGGCGGGGATGGCGGCACAGTCAAAATGTGCATGATCTCGCCACACCTGGATCGTAAGGATTCGTGTGCCTCGGGAAACTATGAGGGGAACGAGGCCCACGTGTGTTTCTGCCACTCGGACAAATGCAACGGGGCGGGGGGAAACCCGGTCCCATATTTTGTCCTAGTTTCCGCTCTGTCCCTGCTTTTTGTCGCGGGAAAAAAATAATTTCTAACAAATTTGAATTTGTGTATGTACGATATGAATTGCAAATAAATCATTGTTGATTTCCATCATGATTACAGATACCTATGACAAATTGTTATAATTTATTTGCATCTTTGGTATGATAATGTGACGCATTTATGGTAAGTAAGGGCTATAAATTGAGCTATTCGTTACGTATTTATGCAAAATTATGTATGTAAAGTTGGGTAATATGCAGGAAATTAAGTAGTACATGAGAAGAAAACTTACGAAACTATACGAATCTCGTTTCTCGACCAAGTTCACAAATTGCATAAACAAACGACTACGAAACGTGTGGCCCGTGCATAAAGGGTGTCATCGATGCACATGATGGTTTAAATGTCACGCTACAATGGAAAAAAAATGTCAATTGGAAAAGTCCGTAAATCACTATTACTTACATGATTTGGGGTTGATATTTTTATTAATTATTAGCAAAACTGGTAACAAAATTCTTGAAATGTTGAATTTTAGAGACAAAGTTTCCAAAGTAACTAATGGAAATTTATGAATTTTTCCCAGCGACAAATTTTCCATCTTAACTACCCTGCATGTATTTAACATATTTTCCTGGTATCAAGTTCACGTCGTTCCTCGATTGAAATAGACATGGACCACCTGTACGGTCCCATTGTGACAAATAAAACATCATCCATCACCCGGGTGACGATAAAGATGGAATAATTCTGATTGCAAAACATGTTCGGCTGCACACGGCCCTATCTATTTAAGCAAGATAAGTGTATAACTGAAAGGTTATCTTTTACCAGGGCGAAATCATCACCCGTAAAAATATAACAAGTCAGAACCTTGTCACCCACCTGATACCAAGTCTGAACAGAACTTTGCCATTAATACGTTACATAAATATGTATGTAAATGCGTTGTAAGTGATAATCTCATCTCCTTTGTCGGCACAGGTGGCTGACACTCAGTGGCGGCGGATGTTGGGGGGCATGTGGGGACATTCACATTGTGAGATAGGAAGAGGTGGAGCTGATTAATTAAGGCAGCATACGATTTTAATGAATTTCTGGGTGAAAATGTCCCCTACTTCGGCCGCCACTGCTGACACTCAATTTTTTATTTTATGTGTTTGGTACACGAGTTTTAGACTTTTTCCCACTGGTGACAAAATTGGACCCAAAATTGTTTAGAGTGTTCCTTACATGTTGCAACCTTTGTAATGCTGTTGCATAAGCAACTTTGCATTCCAAAGGTCAAGGGATTCAAATTACATAGATTTAGTTTGCATGTAAGGGTCGTATGGATTCTCATCCATCACTCCATAATGAGAGTGAGAGTAAAAATCCATAATTTTGTTTTCACTTTCCATATCTACCAATTAAGTTATTAAAGTAGATTTTTCACATTAATTATACTTCATAATGTGGACTACAATATTTATGGAGAAATTAATCAATTTGATCAATGGGTAGATATTGAATTTGAAAACAATGAGAAACATATTTAGCATAAGTAGTGACTCGCCACTCATGGCTAGCCAAACCGTAACCTTGAGTGCACTTGAGTGCAAGCAGACTGCACTACATTGTAAGCATAGGATAATAGATATATACGGTAAGCAGAGAGAAGAACTAAGAGTGTAGTTTTAGACACGGAATCAGCAGGTTTAGCTTTTCATCCATCAAGGTTGTTTAAGCATTTAAGATTCGTTTAGTTAAAATAGAATAAGTTCACAATTTAAGTAATTTTAGGAAATATAAATATAACATTAGCTCTCCCACATATTTAATAATATAAGCATTTTGGTTAATCAATATTTTTCAGTCGGTATTGATAAAAATAAACATATTTATAAATTTCCTTTAAAAATTGATCTTCTTCAAATTTATTGCACTAAAGTCACCAAATAAGGGACATCCACGAAAGTGGGTGTGGATCGGGACACGCAGACCCCATAGTAGAACAGGGGGCGTTACAATGTATTTATAACTGTAACAAATGTACGTATGTACATATGAAAAATAAACTGTCAATAATTTTCATAAGGTGATTACGTGATTATTGTCACGATTATTATAGTAACATGATTATTATTTTGTGCTTATTATATACATCTACGTATACATCCAGGCCAAAAATTTTCGGAAACATTCATTCCGGATTTCATCATTTTGGCAATTTCGATGGGAATATTTTTTCTTCGCATTTGACGCTAACTGTGGGAACTGCTTTGTCCACGGATATATCGTATTTGCAGCGCTTCTTGGCACACCTGTGCACCTCGACGGCCGGCTGGTCGGGCCCTGAGCACTTGTAGACGGGCGCGAAGTCGTCCCCCTTGCAATTATTTCCGATGATCGAGGACCCGCAAAAGTGAAGATCTTGTCCAGCGTAGTCCTATTTTTAAAAAATGAATTAGTTCCAAACATAAAATCGTTTAGGTTTAAAAAAACAATATTTTCTCAATTCACAAATTATTCATTAATTATTCAAAATTTCAAAATAAGTATAGGAAACAAATTATTTAGAAAAAAATTTAAAATATGATTAGTTCCAAGCATGCATAGAATCGTACCTGTTCAAAAAATTCTTCAATTAGTATTCACCATAATTAAAAATTGTTCATTAATTATTCATTTATTCAAAGTTGAAAATAAATATTTCTGCATTCCTTATTCATTCCTTATTTATTTTATCCCAAATTCGCCTTATTGAATGGATTACTCACACTGGAGGCGCAAACCATGTTCAGCCCAGATAATTTTTTGACCTTATTAGTTTGAAATTGCAAGTCTTTATAAACAACATTTGGTTCGGCACTTGGGCAGATGCGCAAATTTCAGCACGTTCTGGACGCCGCAAGTTCGCAAAAACGCACGAAGTTGAGCTCGCGCTGGGCATTGCCCCAAAAAATCGAATCAAAGAATTTCTGCACGAACCAAACCCTGAATTTGTTGCTTATTAGGACAGGACGACAAAGAGGAGGGCATGTTGGGGGGTAAAGTGTCTACTTTATTAATGGTGTGGTATAATGAAAACTATATTGGGAAATATTTATGTAAGCGTAATATCATTTATTATATTAACTAGCGTATAAGCCCGTCTCCCGCCGGGCGAGCGAAAATAAGAACTGGAAATATCTGTCGGCAACGGATGTAAAAGATAAGTGGTGGAGTGATATTTCTGTGTGCTCGGGTCTGACTCCCACTCCACTTCCACTCCACTCTGCAGTGGAGTGACAAATTTCGAGTACTCGTGTCTGACTCCCACTCCACTTCCACTCCACTCCGCATTGGAGTGACAAATTTCGAGTACTCGTGTCTGACTCTCACTCCACTTCCACTCCACTCCGCAGTGGAGTGACAAATTTGGAGTACTCGTGTCTGACTCTCACTCCACTTCCACTCCACTCCGCAGTGGAGTGACAAATTCCGAGTACTCGTGTCTGACTCTCACTCCACTTCCACTCCACTCCGCAGTGGAGTGACAAATTTGGAGTACTCGTGTCTTACTCCCACTCCACTTCCACTCCACTCCGCAGTGGAGTGACAAATTCCGAGTACTCGTGTCTGACTCCGCAGTGGAGTGACAAATTCCGAGTACTCGTGTCTGACTCCGCAGTGGAGTGACAAACACGTACAGAATTGTTGATTGAAACTCTGGATCCATGAACCCACTTCCACTTCACTTCCACTTCCACTTCACTTCCACAGAAGTGACGAAACTCTGAATCTATCTCGTCACGTATATCACTTCGCAGTGAACCACCCAGCATAGCTACTATTAGACAACCACTCCCAGATAAGCACCATCAGACAAACACTCCCAGATAAGCACGATCAAACATCCACTCCCAGATAAGCACCATCAGACAACCACTCCCAGATAAGCACCATCAAACAGCCACACCCAGATTAGCACCATCAAACAGCCACTCCCAGATCAGCACCATCAGACAACCACTCCCAGATAAGCACCATCAGACAACCACTCCCAGATAAGCACCATCAGACACCCACTCCCAGATAAGCACCATCAAACAGCCACTCCCAGATAAGCACCATCAGACGACCACTCCCAGATAAGCACCATCAGACAACCACTCCCAGATAAGCACCCCTAGATAACTAACATCTGACTCCTAATATTTGAATTTTTAATTTGTTTTGAATTTTCGCGCCATTCGAAACTTAACTTTCTCCTCTTTCACTTCCGTTTCGGAAAATTACTTGCACTTCCGTTGCCAAAAGACATTTCCAGCTTATAATATAAGATGTCTTAAGTAATTTCTTAAAAAATGCGTACGCTCTAAAAAGTGTGGTTACGATTATATCCAGAATGTAATCATGTATTTAGGACTCTGTCGTCATGGTTATAAATTTGTCAACAACTGATTATAAAACCATCCCACCAAATTTAATACCAGTGGTGACAAATTTGTGACCAAGAAATATGTGTATGTACATTCCGGTTATAATCGTAACTGCAGCTTTAGAGTGAAATTTAAGGAATACAAAATTAAGTAGTCAAAAAATCTATAATTTTCCAATAGTATTAAAGAGTTGAATAAAAATAATATGTGCATAAATTTTCGAAATTGAGTCAATCTCGTGTTTCTTGAAAAACTTGCATTTTTTGAGCCAAGTCTTCACTCCCAAAATATCTGTAGTTGAAAATTTTCAAAACTTTGATTTAAGGCTAAATAATTATCGTGCTGTGCTTTCATCAAAATTGCAGCGAGACTAGTGTGCTCAATGGTCCGGTCCACGGACCGGACCGGACCGATAACTCCGGTTCGGTCCGGTCCCGGTCCTGGGCTTAGACCGGACCGAGACCGATAAAAAATTCCGGTCCGGTCTCGGTCCTGACCCTCCAGGACCGGACCGATAAGCTTCGGTCCGGTCGGACCGATAAGGTTAATCAATTAAGGTTGAAGCATTTTCTTTCAGAATTCCGAAACTATGTAACCATGTACATAACTGACCAAGGTACCCAATTCTTACAAGGATTGGATTCTCAAATTGGGGCATTAATGGAATGCTTCACCGATTTCCAAACATGCAAGTGTTTTCCGAACTTTAGACCGTTAACA